CCTTGCCCAATGACGGAATACTTTTTCTCTTTCCTTCTGGTAAGCATATGTGCCCTCTAGCAATGAAAAAAAAATAGTTTTAAGGTAAATATTTTTATTTAAATTTCATTTAACTTTATTTATTTTAATTTGACCAGAGAGGAAGAAGAGAGAGAGAGAAAGAGAAAGGAAGTTGCCAGGTCCAGGACTTGAACCTCAGACGACCATATGGGAGTCCAATGTCCTTAACCACTATGACACCTGCCAGGCCCTGAAGGTAAATCTTCTAAGGATATTTTATTTCAATTGACATCTAAAATGGAGTCCTTGATTCTAACTAAAGACAGCTAATAGGATTCTCATTTCTGATGATATTAAAACTTACATGACCTAAGACCAGCTGATGGTGTAATGCTTATGTCACTAGATTCCCACATGGTCAATCATGGTTTGAGTCCCAGACCTAGTGGCTTGAAACTCATGCCAGGCACATGTGCATGTGTGCCCAAAATCCTGAGAGGAGAATGCAAGAGAAGGGACTGTGGCATGGCCATCTTCCTGGGGGGGTGATTTCTTGCTTTCTGTCTTTCTGTCTCTCTGGCAAGTACGTATGCCTTATAGCAAAAATCTCTCTAAAAACCAGACCAAACCAAACCAAAAAAACATATATGACCAACTTAACCCTTTATTACTTACTTATTAAATATGCAAATTAAAAAAGTGAACAGAATTTGGTTAAAACATTTTGTTGGTCATCTGATTACCAATTACTGATAATTACAACCATCAAATGGAAAATTTGTTTATGCCACTTTCTATATAAAAAAAAAAGCGCAAAACCACTCTCCCAATTGAGAGATTCCAAATTTTGTAAAACAATGATTCTTTTTCTTTGGAGAGGTTTTTGCTATAAGGCACGTGCACTTGTCAGAAAGACAGAGACAGAGAGACATTAAGTGAGAAATCACTCCCCAGGGGGGATGACCATGCCGCAATCCCTTCTCCTTCATTCTTCTCCCAGGATCTTGGGCATGCATGCACAGGCACCCGGAATGAGTTCAAATCACCAGGTCTGGGACTCAAACCGTGGTTGACTATATGGGAGTCCAGCAACATAGCCATTACACCAACTGCTGGTCCCGTAAAAACAATGATTCTTAATGGGGGTGTTTTAGATTGTCCTACCAACTAGAGAATGCTACTGGAATTTGGTGGGCAGCACCAGGGATGCTACATCTCATATCTCATGTCATGTGTGGGACAGCAGCATGGTGAAGCATTCTTCCGTTCAAAATGCTGACAGTGCTCCCATTGAGAAACATCGTTCAACAACAAACCGGTAAATCTTAGGTAAGATATCTTTCTACACTCCAAATAAAGCTCTTAAGATATAAAATTTTGAGGAGATAGTTTTTTCTTCTTTTCCCCAGAAGAACTGAACCCAGGTAAGTGTCATGATAAAAATAATGCTTGTGCAACACTCTCTGAAATAAACTGCCTTTACTTTTCAAGCCATCATGCTTATGGGTAGCTATGGATAAGGAATTGCTCCAGGTTAAGGAAGGCAAAAGAGACATGACAACTGGGGGACTGGCAGATGGTGTGGTGGTTAAGGGTGCTGGGTTCCCACATGGCTGACTGAGGTTTGAGTCCTGGACCTGGTGGCTTACTTTTTCACTTTTGCTTTCTCTCTCTCTTTCTCTCTCTCTCTCCCTCTGTCCCTCTCTGGATAAACTGAAAAAAAAAAAGCCAACAAATAAATAAAGTTAAATAAAACAATTCTCTAAAGAGAGAGAGAGAGAGAGAGAGAGAGAGAGAGAGAGAGAGAGGATGATGATGACTAAATGCAATGAGTAAATCTTGATAGGATTCCGGACAATTTTTTTTTTCTTCTGCTATTAAGGGCACTGCTAGGAAAAACGGAAAGATCTGACAGGACTGCATCAATAAATATCCTTGGTTTTGATGACTATACTGTGGTTGCATTAGAGAATGTCCTGGCATATTTCAGAAATACACATTAGAGTATTTTTAAAGAAATAACACCCTAAAGTATTTCTCCAAAAGATATAAACCAAAGTAGGCTATACTTTGTTAAAATGTTCATTTTGTGGTAAGGGGCATTAAAATTTTTATTTCATTTTATTCATTCATTAATTTATTTAAATTTCACCAGAGAGATACAGAGAGAGAGAAGGAGAGAGAGGGAAAGTGAGAGAGTAAGCCACCAGGTCCAGGACTTGAACCACGGTCAGTCATGTGGGAGTTCAGTACCTTTAAGCACCATGCCATGTACTGGTCACTTTTTACATTATTTTTTAAAAATTTGCTATAGGGCATGTGTGCTCAATGGGGAGAAAGAGAGAGAAAATGAGAAAGCACCTTTCAGGGGGATGACCATGCCACAATCTCTTCTCCATTCTCTTGCAAGGATTTTGGGCACCCACTCACGCACACACATACCCAGTGTGTTTTTCAAGTCAATGAATCTGGGACTTGAACTGCATGCTTGGACATGTGGGATCTGGCTGCCTTAACTACCATGCCACTGGCTGGACCAAGGGTTTTTGTTTATTTTTTTAAGATAAAGATACCACTAAAATAAATTCAACTCAAAAGGAAAACTGAAATTTTCACTAAATAAAAAAAGAACTGATTTAAATAAAAACAATACTTTTAGGACTGGCTCTGTGGAGCAGCATTATTCCACTGCTCAAGAGAAGCCAGATCCCATGAGGCAGCCATGGTTCGAATAATCTCCAGTCCACTCTGAAACACATCAGGCATGTGCACATAAATGTCTGAGACCTGGTAACTGGAGGACTGGAAGGTGATCGTGGTGTGACAGATACTGGAGGATGCTCCTCTCTGTCTCTTTCACTCTCACATGCATACAATCTACCACAAAAAAAAAAAAAGAAAAAAAAAAGGAAAAAAATAATGTTTATATTAATCAGATGGTAAATCTGGCTTATTGAGATGAAAACCAATTAAATAAGTATCATTTTATTTGTTAATTTAAAAAAATACATTTATTCACTGTCATGATCAGACTATGACATTTAGCAAACAACATGGTGCAAAAGAAAAAAAATCTACATTAAAGTTTTTTGTTGAAATGCTTTCCACTTTCCACAGAACAGAAAATAAAATAACCTGTCATATAATTAGTCACAAATACAGTCCTCCAGCCTTTTGCCCATACACATGAATACTGTCTAAAATACGTCTTCTTTGTCGTAGACAGGCCATACCACTGCTGTGCTGGGCTGAGTTCACAAATCTGTTGTAACTTGTAGCTTCTTTGTCACTTTTCTGGCTCTCTTATCCTGCTAAGCTGTCTCCTGGCAATTAATTAAAACCTTCTGGGGACCAGCAGATGACATAATGGTTATGTTGCTGAACTCCCACATGGCTGTCCAGAATCCGGCGGCTTGAAACTCTTGGTGGGCATGTGTACGTGTATGCTCAAGATCCCAAGAGAAGAATGGAGGAGAAGGGATTTCAGTGTGGCTATCCCCCCTGGGGGGTGATTTCTTGCTGTCTCTATCCCTCTTTGTCTTTCTGGTGAGAGCATATACCCTATAGCAAAACTCTCTCTCTAAACAAAACAAAAGCAAAACCTTCTGCCACTGCCATAGCTGCTGCTGAAACCGCCTAACGACTTTGATTTTGTGTTTTGGCTAAGTATTGGCCTCCACTGTCATAAAGGCCAGAACTTCTGCCACCAAAGTTTCCTCCCTTCATTGGTCCAAACTTTGAAGACTGACTGTTATAACTGCTCAAATCACTGTCACTTCCACCACCTCCAAAATTGCTTCCACTACTACCACCAAAGCTGCCTCTGCCTCCTCCATTGTTACAGCTGTCACAGCTGCCACTCCTTCCATAACCCTGCCCACCACTTCCATAGCCTCTGCTTCTTCCAGAGTAACCAGGGCTGCCTTCCCCATACCCACCGTCATTACCAAATTCATTATATCTATCCCCATTTCCACTGTCTCCACCAACACTGTGGCTGCCACTAAAGCCACCACAACCACCGAAGTTTTCTCCAAAACCAGAGTTGTCATTACCACCAAAACCACCTCCACAACCGTCACTAGTTTCCAGAACCACTTCCACCTCTTGGGCTGGAGGAACACTAGCCCTGCTTGGACAGGGCTTCCCTCACTTTGCAGTTGTGGCCATTCGCAGTATGGAATTTCCAAATGACAATCTTAGTCACAAAATCATGATCATCACATAAACCAAGCCCCCTTTCTTGGCGCCCCTCAGTCAGTCATGATTTCAATCACTTCGATTTCCCCATACCACTCAAAACAATCTCTTCGGTCAGGCTCTTCAGTGTCTTCTTTAATGCCACCAACCAAGATCTTTTTCACAGTTAAGGGGGCACCTAGTCTTTGGGAATCTTCTCTTGAGACAGTCCTCTTTGGTTCCACAACTATTTCATTGACCTTGTGTGGCCTTGCATTCTTGGCTGCATCCACCTCCTCCATGGTGGCACACGTGACAAACCCGAAGCCCCTGGAGCACTTGGTGATTGGATCTTGCAATTACCACGCAATTTGTGAGTGTTCTTCATTGCTCAAAGTGGCTTCTTTAGGCTCTCATCAGTTGTTTCAAAGTTCAGCCCTGATGAAGAGCTTCCCCAGCTGTTCTGACTCTTTAGGAGACTCTGACTTGGACATGACAGCAGTGGGATGAGAGACTTCAACAATGCTTTCCTGGACACGTCCACAGTCAGAAAGGTAAGCTAATGAACATATCTCTAAATAAGTATTACTTAACCATTGTTTATTTCTTGCTTACTTTTACCAATTTTTTGGAGGTTTCTTTAAAGAGTAAATTATGGAAGAATAAATGACTAAATCTACCTATAATTATCTAGAATATATTCAGTTCTGAATAACTCAAAGTCCAACAAACAGTGTCTTAAATAAGTAAGGGAGTTAAATTTCCCACATCATCAAGGAATGCAGATTAAGGCAGTGCTGGGTTAATCCAGGTCCTTACTATCACCAAGGACCCTGGTTCTTTTTTATTCTGCTATCCCACATGTATGGTTTTGTCTTCACTGCTGCTGTCACATCACATCTACACTCTGGACAGGAAGAAGAAAGCAGAAAAAAGGGCGAAAGGAGAGTGCTAGCCCTGCCTATTTCTCTTTAATAGGAAAACAATGGCTTTCTTGCAGGCGACACCCAGCAGACAGCTGCTTTATGTAGGCCAGAAAGGTGTTACGTGGTCTGAGAAATCACTTTTTCTGTTTGTTTGGCACATTGTACCCTAAGCACAACTTTTCAGTTAGTAAGAGAGAAAGGATGTTAGAGAGGCAATGAGCATTATCCCTTTGGCTATACAGCATGCATCTATACCCTTCATCCCATTTATAGACTATACCTATTCACTGTCCCCTAAGGTCTCATCCGGATTCACTCCAAGCATCTCAAACATCTCTGGTTGATACGACGGCTTTCCATCAGGTGTGGGTCACACGGTAGAGACCTACTGGGCCTCAGGGATAATTAAACAGGATACAAGGAAAAGTTGGAATGGGAAATACATGACAGTCCCTGTCCACAGCAAATCCTAAATCCTGCTGGACAAAAGAACAAGGACTCCTTGTTTTGGCAAAGGAATAAGTTCCCTAGTCAGCCAATTCTGTTTTCTGGAGACTCAAAGACCCTCTCAGGCCCACTGACTTTCAAGATTCTGGCTTCTGTCCTCTGGGTATCTTCCTTGTCTGGAGGTGGAGAGACTGGGTAAGATGTCCTCCTTTTGTCACTTAAAGCTTTCACCATTCACTTCCTGTATTCAGGGGTCCAGGAATGGCCTTAAGAGTTGGAGTAAGGGGGCCAGCAGGTGGTGTAGTGGTTAAGTTGCTAGACTCCCACAAAGCTGACCTCAGTTCAATTCCCAGACCCAGAAATTTAAAAGTTGTGCCAGGCACATGTGTGCGCGTGCTCCAAATCCCAAGAGGATAATGGAGGAGAAGGGACTGCGATGTGGTCATACCCCCCCGGGGGTGGTGGTGGTGTGATTTACCATTTTCCCTCTCACCATTTCTCTATGTTGTTTTCCAGTGAGCACATACACCCTATGGCAAAACGTTAAAAAAAAAAAAAAAAAAAAGTTGGAATAAGAAAGCAAGGCCTTGGGTTTCTTGGCAATATAGTTCACTCCAAAATTTCTTAAACCTCAAATTAGTTTCCAGTCATTCTCATGTACAAGTAGCCATGCACAAAAATCTTGATATGGTTTTTAAGCATGAAGACTGTCATTCTTGGGTAATATCTCTCCATTCAGTTCATCTCCCTATCCCTTGCCTTAATGGTCACTTCTTAAAGTAATAAAAAACAATAAGCTCCAGTGAGTAAATGCATCATATCCTGACCTTTGGCAGAATTTGAAAGTCTTGGGTATTGATCTTATTTCACATTAAAGCTCTGAAGCCTCCTGATTATATTGATTTCAGTTTATAGTGGATAAGAACAATTGGTATTTTTAATTCCCTAAGGCTCTAAATTATGGGACTCTCAATCAAGCTATAGACAAGTAATACTTCCTTTCATCTTTGCTTTTCAGACTAACTCGCTTAAGCTGTACTCTTCCTCTTTTTCAATATTTTGCTAAAAGCTGCAAGCACTATCCAGCACACACTGACATTCTTATTTCTATTACAGTGCCAGCCTCAGGTGGTACTTGGTCTCTGTTCCAAGAAAGAGTAACAGGGGGTCAGTGGATGGTGTAATGATTACATTGCTGGACTCCCATGTGGTCAACCACAGTCCAAGTCCCAAACCCAGTGGCTTAGAACTCATGTTGGGCACGTGTGTGTGCATGCCAAAGATTCCGAGAGGAGAATGGAGGAGAAGGGATTGGGGTGTGGCCATCGTCCCTGAGGGGTGATTTCTCGCTTTCTCTCTGTGTCTCTCTGGTGAGTGCACATGCCCTTTAGCAAAAAATCTCTCAAAGAAAAAAAAAAGGAAGAGTAACAGGTACTGACCTTATATTTCACTAGCTTGAAGCCTATGATGGATGGTGACAGCATGATAATTATACTTCCCTTTGTCTCTGCTTCCATTCAACTAATTCCACATTATGCAGTTTTTAATACCTGATTGATTGATTGCCACAGGGTATGTGAGAGAGAGAGAGAGAGAACGAGTGCAAGTGCGTGCACGCATCCCAATGGGGTGTGGTCACCCTGCAATTCGTTTCCTAGTCCCTTCCCCTCCATTTCTCCATCCTGTTGGGATTTTGGGCATGGATGCACATGTGCCCAACATGCTTTTCAAGCTATCAGGGTAGGGACTTGAACTGTGGTTATACATGTGGGATCCAGCTCTCTTAACCACTAGGCTCTGGGGCCAATCTAGTACTTCACTTCTGGTTAGTTACCAGAAGTGTTAGTTGTAAGTAACAAAAGTGGACACTGGCTGATCAAACAGAAAAAGCACTTACTAACAAGCTATTGTTCTAACTCAATGGAATTGCTGTGAAAGGTAAAGAACTAGGCAGGCTTGGGAACCAGCAGTTAGCGTAATGGCTGTGTCGCTGGACTCCCACGTAGTTGACCGCAGTTCGTGTCCCGGACCCGGTGGCTTAAAACTCACGCCGGGCGCGTGTGCGTGCGTGCCCAAGATCCCAAGAGGAGAATGGAGGAGAAAGGATTGCGGCATGACCATCCCCCATGGGGGGTGATTTCTCGCTTTCTGTCTCTATGTCTCTCTCTGTCTGTCTGGCGAGCGCATGCGCCCTACAGTGAAAATCTCTCTCAAAAAAAAAAAAAAAAGAACTAGGCAGGCTTGACACTAAGCTTCCAGGAACAATGACCAAAGCCATGCCACAGAATTGGCCTAATGATAAAGACTGCTGTTCCCCTGTGGGGCACTAGAAGAAACTACCAACACTCTTAAACATCCTAGAACACAAGATGCTATACTTCAGATGCTGCTAGAAACTTAACTTTACTACATCTGCTCCTGCCGACAATGCCACTACTCCATAAGGAACCTGATCCTGCCAGCAAAATAGATTTTGTCAAACTTCTCTGGAGTTCATTTCTAAATATGGTGAGTATGCTGGAACTATACTAAATGCGTGTGCCTGAACTGCAAAAAACCCAAGTAAGTGAAACTTCTAGGTTCTGTCTTAGGGATTTAGAACTCATAGTGATGAAAATTCCCCAAAGTAAGGACAAAGAGGGATAAATAACCGGCAAACCTGTCAGATATTTACTACTCTATCCCTTTCCCTAGCTCGCCCTATTAGATACCTTTGGAATCAAAAGATACGCTACGACTGAAATTTTCTGTGTTCATTAACTTCTAACACTTAAATTAGGCCAAATACAGCACAAGTATATATACATGCTATATACTTTGCTGTACTTTTATTTTATTGATTTTAAGATCCTGGACTTTGCTCTCTATGTTTGATGCCAAGTATGATAACAACATTAGTTTACTGAGGTTGCCAGATCTCAACAAGGGAATGCACTGAGATTATGATTTATTTCCTGTATTTTAGGCCAATGAAAGGTTTATCTACTCTTATCATAATAAAAAAAGTAATTTCTTGAAATAAAAAGCCTCTATGCTCAATGATGGACCAAAATAAAAATTTAGATCAAGACTAAAAAAATATATACTGTGGGATCAGCAGTTGGTGTGCTGGTTAAGGCGCTGGACACTCCCACATGGCTGACCATGGCTTGAGTCCTGGACCTGGTGGCTTATTTTCTCACTTTCCCTCTCTCACTCTCTCTCTCTCTCTCTCTCTGTGTCCCTCTGGTCAATTTAAAAAATAAATGAATGAAAACAAAAAAACGAAGTATATAAGACATAAGAAATGGAAAATTATTTGCTGATAACAGGTATGTTGATGTGCTTGATTGAGCCAATATACAGTGTATTTTGGATGGAAAAAAAAAGAGTGAAACAGTGTAAGATTGTATGTTTTATCATTCACCAAGGTTCAATACAATGCTAAATAATTACTAAAAATGTACTATGTGTGTAGACATGAATAACTGAAATAAAACTGATAAACACACAAAAAAAGAATAATAAAATAAACAAATAAATAAATAAATGAAATTAAGTAAATAATTTAATATATATACATATATATATATATATATACACATATGTGCCCTACAGCAAACTAAAAAAAAAGTGTGTGTGTATATATATATGTGTATGTGTGTGTATATATGTAAAATAAATAAAATAATTAAAAACATATATAGATGATCTTATTAAATACTATTAGTATATAATAACCTGAAGTCCTGAATTTTCTTCTTACCATCTTTATTCATACATTTGATAATTTATAGAGTATATCTGCTGAGGGCCAACATTGAAACAGCTATATAATGTCCACATTAGACTGAGGACTTCAACAGCCTATGATTAAGGGAGCTAGATCCCAGTGGCAAACCGAGGATTGACTTCTGACCTTGGCAGCTTGAAAAACATGCCACATGTATGTGTGTGCCCCAAATTCTGACAGGATGGAGAAACTGAGGAGAGAGAGAAGAAAGTGGTCATGCCACAATCTCATCTTCTCTATTTCTCCATCCACTGGCTTTTCGGGTGTGCAAGTACACATGCCTGGTGTTTTTCCAGCTATTCGGGCCAAGATTAAATCAATGTTAGCTATGTGGCTTCCTTTAACCACTAAGCTATAGGGCTGGCCTGACCCAGAAACTTCACTTCTATATATAAATAAGAGAAATGTGAGCCAGTGGGTGGTGAGGTTAAGGCATCTGGATCCCACATGGCTGACTATGTGGTTCGAGTCCCGGGCACAAAGGCTTAAAAATCATGCAGGGTGCATGTGCATGTGTGCCCAAAATCCTGAAAGGAGAAGGGATTGTGATGTGGCTATCCCCCTGGGGGCTGACTTCTCACTTTTCCTCTCTCTCTTTTTCCAGCAAGCATAAATGCCCCATTGCAAACACTGCAAAAAGAATAGAGAGAAATGCATTTTTTATATATATATACACATTTACACACAGTTTTACCATCAAAAGGCGCACATGGGTCCGGCCCCGTTGTGCAGTGGTTAAGAGGTTTGTTGGGCATGTGTGCCCAAAATCCTGATGGGGAGAAATGGAGGAAAGGGATTGCACTGTGACCATACCCCACTGGGGAGTGCTTTCTCTCTCTCTCTGGCAAGTGCACATACCCTCTGGCAAAACTTTTCTAAAAACAGCACATAAAACCATGTTCATCATAGAATCATTATTCATTATAGCCCAAAATTAAGAACAATCCTAATAACAACAGAAGGATAAATTGTGATATCTTCAAACAACATTCGTAACTATGTTGTCATATACAACAGTATAGAAAAATCTCATAAATACAATGTTGAGAGCAAGAAACCAAACAAGATAATAATCCCATATGAATCCATTTATTGAGTCATAGGAAAAGTCATGATGTATTTTTCTGTTTCTCTACGCAAAAATGTGTCAGGACTTTTCCGATGACCCAATATATAAAGTTCAAACATTTTGTAATAAAGTTCAAAATCTATGGTTTTAAATACCAGGGCAGGGATTATCCTAGTGGGGAGGAAGTAACTGGGAGGAACATGAGGGGACTTCCTGGATTCTGGTAATGTTACAGAGTTGGAAGCGGATGTTGGTTACAGGAGTATTTTTACTTTGTGAAAAGTCACTGAACTGTTACAACCTGTGTACTTCTCTGCATACATGTTATCCTTCAACAGTCTACTTAAAAAACAGCCTTTCAGCAAGTCTGACTGTCTTCTTTTTGTTGCTGTTGTTCAAAACGATGCTTTAGAGATTGAAAAGAATGATAGGAAATGAGGTTCTGCCGGAGCCCCAATAGGAGTCTCAAGGTATAATGAAAGATAGCTCTATTTCCTTCCCATAATCCCGATTCTTCTATTAAAATCAATAATTACAGACTAAAAGATAAGGGAATAGACTTGGTTAGGTTAAGTGATAAATGATGCCAGAACTATTAAGAGATGATTACAAAGAAAAAAATCTGGTAAAACAAAATTTCATAATTCAATATTTTTAGATTATGGCTTTACAAATGTGCACAATATTTATTACAATGCCCATAATGAAGCTGTTTTACTACTCAGCATTAAAAATGCTGTAATTGTTCAATATTTTAAAACACATTGAAGTCAGAAAATAGTTTTCTTTAATTTTACTTACTCAGTGTATTGTGGTCTGTGTGAATACCTTGTACAACTGATGTCCTGAGTAGCAATTCAACATCAGAACCTATTTTCATAAGCTGTTAAGAAAACCAAATAAATAGAATAAATTTTTCAGGTGTTTCATATAAATGTACTTTTCTTGAAAACCATAGTTTTGCTATAATATCTTTTTAGGTAATACTGCTTTATTTAAACTTTTTATTATTTATCTTTATCTTGAATGAATGAATGAATGAAAATTTGACTAGAGAGGGGAACAGCAGTTGGCATACTGGCTATGTCGCTGGACTCTCGTGTAGTTGACCACGGTTCGAGTCCTGGACCCAGTGGCTTAAACTCATGCTGGGCGCGGGTGTGTGTATGCCCAAGATTCCGAGAGGAGAATGGAGGAGGAGGGATTGTGGCATGGCCATCCCCCCTGGGGGGTGATTTCTCACTTTCTGTCTCTCTATCTCTCTCTGTCTCTATTTCTGGCAAGTGCATGCACCCTATAGCAAAAACCTCTCCAAAAAAAAAAAAAAATGGGAACCAGCAGTTAACGTAATGGCTATGTTGCTGAACTTCCATGTAGTCGACTATGGTTCATGTCCCGGACCCAGTAGCTTAAAACTCACGCCGGGCACATGTGCGTGCATGCCCAAGATCCCAAGAGGAGAATGGCAGAGAAGGGATTGTGGCGTGGCCATCCCCTCTGGGGGCGTGAGTTCTTGCTTTCTGTCTCTGTCTCTCTCTCTCTCTCTGTCTGACGAGCGCATGTGCACTATAGCAAAAACCTCTTAAAAAATTTTTTTTTTGACCAGAGAGTAACAGAGTGAGAAAGAGGGAGAGAGAAGAAAAGTGAGAAAATAAGTCGCCAGATCTGGGACACAAACCATGGTTGGCCATGTGGGAGTCCAGTGCCCTTAACCACCATGCCATCTGCCAGCCCCTATTTAAACTTTTAAAGTAACCATTTCAAGTATAGACAGCTCAGGCATCATGCATATAGGTTTTTTTTTTATTTTTTATTTATTTATTTTTTTTATAGTTTGTTATAGGGTGCATACACTCACCAGAGAGAGACAGAATGAGAAATGATACACTGCAATCCCTTTTCCTCTAGTCCACTTGGGACTTTGGGTATGCATGCACATGTGCCTGGTATGTTGTTCAAGATGCAGGGTTCAGCCCTTCCTTTTGGGCGGAACCGCCATCTTCCAGTAATTAACCAAAATGACTAACACAAAGGCAAAGAGGAGAGGCACCCGATACATGTTGGCCTTTTAGAAAACATGGAGTGGTTCCTCTGGCAACATATATGTGAATCTACGAGAAAGGAAATATTGTAGACAGTAAGGGAATGGGTACTGTTCAAAAAGGAATGCCCCACAAATGTTACCATGGCAAAACTGGAATCATCTACAATGTGACCCAGCATGCTGTTGGCATTGTTGTGAACAAACAAGTTAAGGGCAAGATTCTTGCCAGGAGAATTAATGTGCATATTGAGCATATTAAGCATTCTAAGAGCAGAGATAGCTTCCTAAAATGTGTGAAGGAAAATGACCAGAAAAAGAAAGAAGCCAAAGAGAAAGGTACTTGGGTTCAACTGAAGCGCCAGCCTGCTCCACCCAGAGAAGCACACTTGGTGAGAACCAATGGAAAGGAGCCTGAGCTACTGGAACCTATTCCCTATGAATTCATGGCATGATGGGTATTAAAAATAAACTAATCTGTGGTCTATTAAAAAAAAAAAAACAATGCAGGGTCCAAGACTCTGACTGCATAGTTGGCCATGTGGGATCCAGCTGCCTTAACTAACCTCCAACACCTGATGGCCAGACATACATATCACAGTTTTAGCTTTTATCCATCTACTCCACATTTCGCTCCAAAACAGATTCAGAGTATTTTTTGTTTTAAAGTGTATTTTAAAATGTTTAAGATGCACTTTTTTTCTTTTCTTTTGTGGGGGTGGAGAGGAGGGAGCTGAATCTCTCTTTAGTAGAGTTGGATGTTCCTAACATTAGAATGAATATTGGATTAGGATTCAGAACACATGGATTCCAACTCTGGTTCTGTCATTAAGTATATGGCCTTGGTTTAGTTAATTATCTATCATCTTTGAGTGTCAGACTTCATCAAATGCAAAGTGAAGAACTGGACTAGAACTGATTCTCAAAAGCTATGAGACCCTAAGGAACCTTGAGATCCTTTTAGGAATCTATGAGGTCAAAAATCATTTCATAATAGTTTAGCCTTCATTGTTTTGAGTTGTGAGCAGAGGTAGAGCTTTCTCCTTAGAAATCTCTCTCTCTCTATTTTTTTATAAAGGTTTTTGTCATAGGGAGTATGCACTCGCTGGAGAGACAGAGACAGTGGAGGGAAAGTGAAAAATCACCCCGTGGGGAAAAGGCCACATCCTAATCCCTTTTTCATTCTCCTTCTGGGATTTTGGGCATGTATGCACATGTGCCCAGTGTGAGTTTCAAGCTGCCAGATGCAAGACTTGAACTGAGGTCAATCATGCGGGAGTCCAGAGCTTTAACCATATTCCACCTGCTGTCCCCAGAAATCCATTTTTTGCTTGAAAGAACCATTGACAGACCATGATTAATTAGACTTAGCTATGTGACAGACATTTTCTTGAAAATGAGTTCAGTGCATGTATCACTTCCAGGAAAACAACTGAAAGTACTCGCTGACAATAATAAAATTAAAACTTTCAATTAAAAATCAGAAATCTGGAGAATTTGTATCCACCACAGTGAGCTTCCCAAGGGAAGCAGTGATAGTTTCACAATGCTTACAGATTTTTCTGATGAGGTGAATATTAATATATGTAATTCTGAAATATTATATAATGAATTATGTCAATATTTGGCAGATCTGTATTGCTCAGTGAGCCTATATTTTCCAAATCACTAGTGTATGATGCTACAAAAATCACACCTGGTGGGCTGGTAGGTGGCGTAGTAGTTAAGGGTGCTGGACTCCCACATGGCTGACTGCAGTTCAAGTCCCGAACCTGGCGGCTTACTTTCTCACCTTCCCCCCATCTCTCAACTCTGTTCCTCTCTGTTCTAAATAAATAAATAAATAAAGTTAAAATAATTCTTAAAAAAAAATCACACCTGGAATGAAAAATCCATTCAAATAGACAGGTAAATTAAAATCCATTGGTTTACTAAATGAAGACTCACAGGCACGTGGACTACCCCAGAAAGAAGCAACAACATATAGGCCCTGAGAGAGAAAAGTTCTTGATAAGTTCAGATTCAAAGAAGTAACTGGAATTGGGAGAGTGAAAGGGATGTGGCTCAAGTTGAGGTGGAAAAAAGTAACAGGAGTCAGTGGCACAACCTTGTAGGTCATGGTAGGGATGTTAACATTTTCTTTGAATGGGATGAGGAGCTATGAGAGTTGTGAGAAGAAGACTGATGGAACATGACTTTATTTATTTTATATTTCTTTCATTTCCTTAACGTGTTTTTTAAATTTGATCACTGTGTATCTTTACAGAATCCAAAATGAATTTTGCCAACATGAATATATTGTATATTACTCCACTCAAGAATATTACCATACACATATCAACAGATAATTTTCCATTGGGATGTGCATTTTTTTTTTTTTTTTGCTACAGGGCATGTGTGCTCACCAGAGAGAAAGAGAGAGTGAGAATGGCAGAAAGATAAAGTAAGAAGTAGCCCCACAGGGAGGATGGCCATGCCACAATCCCTTCTCTTCCATTCTCTTCTCAGGATTTTGGGCATGCACACACATGCACCCAGCATGAGGGTTTCTTTTCTCTTTTTTCTTTTTTTTGAGAGAGTTTTTTTGCTATAGGGCGTGTGCGTTCACCAGACAGACAGAGACAGAGAGACAGAAAGCGAGAAATCACCCCCCAGGGGGGTGGCCACGCTGCAATCCCTTCTCCTCCATTCTCCTCTCGGGATCTTGGGCACACACACACACGCGCCCAGCGTGAGTTTAAGCCACCGGGTCCGGGGCTCGAACCGCGGTCGACTACGTGGGAGTCCAGCGACATAGCCATTACGCTAACTGCTGGTCCTCCCCAGCATGAGTTTTCAGTCACCAGGTCTGGGACTCGAATTGCAGTCTGGGATTCGAACTGCAGTCAACCACGTGGGAATCCAGCGATGTAACTATTACATCATCTGCTGGTCTTGGGATATGCCTTTTCTTAAAGGCTCACTCTGCTTTTCAAAATATTGAAAACAGACTGCAGAGAATGAAGGTGGAAGCAGGAGGGCCCTTTAGAGGGCTGTTGTAAGAATTAAGGGAGAGAAAATGGTGGCTTCAACTAGGAAATAATAGAAGATGAGAAGTGGTGGAATTCTGGATATACTTTGAAGATTAAGCCAATAGGATGTGCTGACAGAATGGATGTAAATGTGGAGAGAAGTCAGGAAAGAAAGCATCAAGGTTTTTGGTCTGAGCATCAAAAAGAGGGAGCTGCTATTAATTGACTTGGAGAAGGCGATGGGAAAGCAAAGCCTCGCTTCTTGACACCTGGGCAAAGGCTGGGCAGGGTAGAGAAAGAACAGTCTCCTCATCCATTGGAGGTACAAAAACTACATTGAGTCCTAAAGCTGAGGCTGGAAACAAGAATAGAGGAGGAACCAAAGATTAAAGGGGAGCAGAAGGGGGTCTCTAGGAATCCCCAGAGCCTCCCCATTGTACCAAAACCCTCAACAGGGCCCGTCCCATAGGAGAGCAGTTAGGCAATGCAGAAGGGAAGATGGATCTCAGATGCCTGACTAGGGTTCAAGTCCAGCCCTAGATACGAAAAATACATCCAGTGGGTATGCACATGATCAAGAATCTGATGGGGTAGAGAACTGGAAGGAAAAGGATTGTGGAGTGATCAGACCCACTGGCAAGTACATGTGCATGCACAAATACCTTCTCTCATACATGTGCCTCTGGCAAAAACAAAAACAAAAAAAGCAAAGAAACCCTTTACTGATCTAAAAGATAATAAAGTTTCTCATCACAACTATCTTATTTTTAAAGATTCGTTCATTTAATTTTATTATTATTATTTATTTATTTTAAAAAATTTGTTGTAGGGCATGTGCACTCACCAGAGACAGAGAAAGCAACAGTGCAAGTGAGAAAGCAAGCCACCAGGTCCAGACTTGAACCACAGTCAGACATGTGAGAGTCCAGTGCCCTAACCGCGGTATAGCCTGCTGGCCCTGCAACAAACTTTCAAGAAATTACCATTTACTGAGGTATGTTATCAGAATAGTCACACTTATCTGAAAAGGTTAATATCTACCCCTTTCCAACTACATATCTGTGTGAGGCTGAATTTTCCTCATATATATCAGCTTTTTTAAAAAATATAACTTTTTAAAATGTTTTTCTTTGTTTTTGCTTGTTTCTTTGTTTGTTTTCTTCTCCTTTTCCTTTTAACTTTATCACTTTACAGCTCAGCCTCCACACACTGAGGGTCTAGAAAGGTCTAAGTGAACAGTAGCCAAACATCTGAATACTATTAGGGTCTGAATATTCCTCAATTCTCACTGAATCCGCTGCACAAAGGGAGAAAAACGGAACTGCAGACAGACTGCAGATCACCTCCTACTGCACGCCTCTGATCACTCAGACTGAACTTTAAGAAATTAGAAAGAAACATATAACTCGTCAGATGAACAGAAATCACAGCAAAGACACAAGAAATATGAGAAACCAAGAAAATACCTCTCCCCCAAGGGAAGAGAACTCCTCTTCATCCATGGACAGTACAATGGAACTCCTGGAAATGTTAGATAAAGAATTTATAATATTCATAGTGACAAAGCTAATAGGTATGCAAGAGAAGAAACACAATGAACTCCAGAAGAGGCAGGAGAAAAGAGCTGATGAGTTCCAGGAGGTGAGGAAGTTCTTGCATGATCTGAAAGAGGAAATACCATAAAAAAGAATCAAATGGAATTGTTAGATGAAGGCTGTAATACAGGAAATCAAAACCTCCCTTTAAAGTATTAAAAGCAGATTAGATCATGTGGACTGAATCTCAAATGTAAAGATAGAATCTTTGCCCTAGAAAAATTCACTATGAAGACTGAGAAAATAGCCCCCCAAAATGAGAATAATATACAAGAAATACTAGATGCCATCAAATGTCCAAACATCCAGATAATTGGTATCCCAGAAGGTGAAGAGACTAATAAGGGAATTGATAATCTAGTTCATAAAACCCTGGGGAAAAAAAATTCCAAACCCAGAGAGTCACTCAAATATCAAGACCCTGGAAATACAAAGAACTCCAAATACAATCAATCCAAGATCTTCTCCAAGGCACATCATAGCCAGATTGACCAAAACCACAGACAGAGACAAGATACTAAGACTGGCAAGAGAGAAATGTCAAGTTACTTACAAAGGATTTCCCATCAGGCTAACAGCAGACCTCTCATCAGAAACAATGTGAGCAAGGAAAGAATGGGAAAATATATTCAAAATGTTAGTGAAAAACAATTTCTATCAAGAAAATTGTACCTGGCAAGATTATCCTTCATATGGGAAGAAAAGACAAAATCATTCGCATATAAACAGAACCTGAAAGAATTTACCAACACCAGACTAGCTCTCCAAGAAGTTCTGAATGGAATGATGTATGAGGAAGACTAAATACAGACACACAGAAGAGTTCAAAAACAACCAAGAAAATGGCCAACTTGGGACCAGCAGTTAGCATAATGGCTATGTCGCTGGACTCCCACGTAGTCAACTGCGGTTTGCGTCCCAGACCTGGTGGCTTAAAACGCACTCTGGGCGTGTGTGTGTGTGTGTGTCCAAGATCCTGAGAGGAGAATGGAGGAGAAGGGATTGCGGTGTGGCCATCCCCCCTGGGGATGTGATTTCTCGCTTTCTGTCTCTCTGTCTCTCTTTGTCCTTCTGGAGAGCACATGCGCCCTATAGCAAAAACCTCTCAAAAAAAAAAAAAAAAAAAAAAGAAAGAAAAAAAAGAAAAAAGAAAATGGCCAACTTAATGTAGGGACAAGTCTGAAGTTGAATTGTTTAAAATCTTCCAGAATTTAAACAGAAAGATCAGACCACAACAGAAAAAAGATTAATTACACAAGACTGAACTGGTAAAATAGAATTTTATGAATTTTGACCAAAATATTACCGATTTTCTTCTATGCTCTGTTTTCCAAATTTAAGGATTTTTTGTCTTTTCTTGAGCCGTTGATAGGTTCTTGTACCTATCTGAACAGAATTCTAACCTGTTTCTTGGCTTTAAGTTTTAAGCAAATTTCTCTTAACATTTTTTGATTTTGGTTTATTAAAGCTAAAACTGGGGGCCAGCAGGTAGCATAATGGTTAAGGCCACTGGACACACCCACATGGCCGATAATGGTTCGAGTCCTGGACCTGGTGGCTTGCTTTCTTGTTTTCCCTCTCTCTCTCTGCATCTCTCTTTGGTCAAATTAAAATAAATAATGAATAAATAAAATTAAATAAATAAATCTTTAAAAAAAAAAGCTAAAGCTGCTTTTTCTTGAAATTAAAAATAAAATTTTAAAAGTACCTATTTATTTATTTATTTAAATTTGACCAAAGAGGGACAGAGTGAGAGAGAGCAAGAGAGACAAAAAGTGAGAAAGCAAGCCACCAGGTCCAGGACTCGAACTGTGGTCGGCCATGTGGAAGTCTAGCGCCCTTAACCACCATGCCACCTCCTGGCCCCTAAAAAGTACCTATTTAATGACTGCATTAAGCTATATAGCTTCAGCTAGGTGTTACTTTATAATGTATTCATTCTATTCATGGAGTTTCATGTCTAAAGTCAGACACGTGTTCACAGATATGTATATATCAGCTGAACTTGCTATTGAAAGTATTTAGATTAATTAAGATATTTGTGAATCAATAAAATGTGGGGAAAAAGAGGAACAGAAAGCAACTGTAAATATCAGACAGTGTAGGAGAAGGGTGAGAAATAAGGAATCAAAAAAGAAGAAAAATATTTAAGAAACAAGAAATGGAAAATTATTTGTTGATGATAACATGTATGATTAAGCCAATATACAGTGTATTCTGGATGTGAAATCACATTTTGTATGCTGTGATGATGTTCAGTGAATAAATGTAAAATGAATAAATTCAAAATAAAAATAAAACAAATTAAAAAATGTAAAAAATATTACATTCAATCACTTGATTCCTTTTTCTATTTTTATACACAGTTAGATGCAGCATACTGAGGATACAAACAATGTCTATATACCAGAATACACATCCAGGAAAGAATAGGATACAGACAATGTGTATACGCCAGAATACACATACAGGAAAGAATCACTGTGCCTTTTTTTCAATGGACATATATTAGGAGTACTAGAGAGTGCACAGAATAGTTATCACTAGAGTGTCTTCAACTACAGTAAGTGACCAAAATGCAAATACAGAAGGCAAGATATAAATACAAAACTGAAAAAGCAGCTTACAAATTGTTCAGTGGCTCTTTATGCCATTGCCAAAATAGAAATTAAAAAAAAAAATCTAACTGCCTAGTTGAGCTGAAAGAGTAGAGGTTCCTTCCGTAGCTCTGAATTACTACACTGCTGACTCTCCTTAGTTGCAGTCAATTGCCTTAGATGAAAAGAGAGTATCTGTGAGTTTCTGGGTTGGTTCAGCTACTCTTGCATTGACCATGGCTATGTCCATGTTCTCTCTTGCTGTCTTTTGGAATGCAGACAGATGACCCTGAGGAGGAGAGCCATACCAAACAAGTGAAGACTATCTACGGTTGTGATGGCTTTAACTATGAAGCAATGGGTTTTATGTTGCATAACTGCTCTATTTTCATCATTTCCTCTTTGCCAAGACAATTTACAAGAGTTCTGTTACAACTAAAAAAAAAAAAAAATAAAATAAAGAGTTCTGTTACAACTGAAAAACTCATTTACTATACCTCTTCTATTTTCTTAGGCGAAGTCTCGCTTTTATTACTTTTGAATTCTTCATTTATCTTTATTCTGGCTGCTAGAGAAAGAAAAAAATATTATTATATACATAGTCATTTACTTTTCTAATTTATACTTCCTTGCTTAATAATTTACATGTTATTTATCGTGGATGATTACTTTTCTAGGATAGGAAGATATTTTGTCCCTATATAAATCAGAGCATAAGAATAAGAAATTTATTACATAAATCTCTTGGAGAGCTGGCAAATTTGTAAGTAAATCTAATTTATACGTGAATACTTCTTTTACCCACTTTTTACTCTCAACTTCATTTATGAACCAATAGCTATTAGTTTTTTTGTTTTGTTTTGTTCTATGTTTTTTTTTTTAGGTTTTTGCTATAGGTTTGTGTGCTCTCCACCAAGGGGAGAGACAGAGAAAGGGGAACTGAGAAATCAACCCCCAGGAGGATGGCCACATCACAATCCCTTCTTTTCCATTCTTCTCTTGGGAGTTTGGGCATGCATGCACACGTGTCCAGTGTGATTTTCAGGCTACCAGGTCCAGAACTCGAACAGCAGTTGGCCATGTGGGAATCCATCTGCTTTAACTACTATGCCTCCTGTTGGTCCTTTTTATAAATTTTAAAAATCTAGCTTAATGCTTTATTCTATAAATCTAAGGAGTAAGAGTAAAGTTATTTTTTTTAGAGTTTTTTTTTTGCCTTAGGGCATGTACACTCATTGGGTGGAGGGCAGGGGAGAGAGACAGATACAGTGAGAGGGAAAGAAATCATCTCAGGGGTGGTTTCTCAATCCCTTCTCCTCTGGGGATCTTGGGCATGTATGTGCATGTGCCTGGTGTAATTTTCAAGTCACTGTTACAGGATACGAACCATGGTTGACCATGTAGGACTCCAGCGATGTAACCACTAGGCCATCTATTGGTTCCTAAAATGGTTCTTTAAAGAGGGCAAAATTCAATATATACAAACATATTAAACTACTGGGTTGTTGGAGAAGTCTTGACACATTTTTGTATAGAAAAACAGAAAAATACATCATGACTTTTCCAATGACCCAATATACAAACATATATACAAACAATTAAAATAAATATTTAGCAGCAAAGAGCACACACACATGCTCATCATATATATATTTATAATTCTGAGTGTGTCTTGGCTGACATGCAAAAGGAGTGATAAATAAAACTTCTGTTCATATATATCACTGAGACTTCAGTGTCATCATAGCAATATAATTTAGAATAGTCTTACCGGTCTTGGTTGTTATGTGCATTTATAATCCTTATAATTGCTTAGTAAATATGCAATAATGTTAGCTGTCTGATAATTATTTCACTTAAAAATTTAAAACAACAAAAATATTCCATGATGATGAAGAACAACCATAAAACCTTTCTATGCTGGATACATTTCAATATGTAAGACAGAGTTTGGCTTTCAGAATGAGACTGCTTAGGTTAAATTTCAGGTCCACCTCTTAGTCTAATAAGGAACAAATCTTTTCACATTTTGTCAGTTTTCTCATTTGCAAAAATAGGAATTATAGGACTCAACAGATGGTGTGGTGGATGGTGTGGTGGTTATGTCATTGGACTCCCATATGGCTGACCGCAGTTCAAGTTCCTGACCCAGTGGCTTGAAACTCATGCTGGGCATGTGTGCCTGAGTGTCCAAGATCACAGGAGGAGAATGGAGAAGAGACTGTGGCGTTCCGTGGGGGAGGAGAGGAGGAGTGATTTCTCATTTTCTTTCCCATTCTCTCTCTCTTTCTCTCCCCAGTGAGCACCCATGCCCTAAGGCCAAAACTTCTCTAAAAAGAAATAGGAATTGGGACCAGCAGTTAGTGTAATGGCTATGTCGCTAGACTCCCATGTAGTTTACTGCGGTTCGAGTCCCAGACCCGGTGGCTTAAACTCACGCTGGGTGCGTGTGCGTGTGTGCCCAAGATCCTGAGAGGAGAATGGAGAAGGGATTGCAGCATGGCCATCCCTCCGGGGGGGTGTATTCGTGATTTCTGTTTCTCTGTCTGGCGAGTGCATGCGCCCTATAGCCAAAACCTCTTCCAAAAAAAAAAAAAAAGAAATAGTAATTATAATAAAACTTCTCAGAGTTGTTATAAGAATTAAATATGGAGTTCATGTAAAGTACATAATATGACATATATACCTTAATATTTAAGAAATTATTGGGTTGTTGGAAAAGTCATGATATATTTTTGCATAGAAAAACAGAAAAGGGGGACCAGCAGTTGGCGTAATGGCTACGTCGTTGGATTCCCATATAGTCAACTGCAGTTTGAGTCCCGGACCTGGTGGCTTAAACTCATGCCGGGCGCGTGTGTGTGTGCCCAAGATCCCGAGAGGAGAATAGAGAAGGGATTGCGGCGTGGCCATCTCCCCTGCGGGGTGATTTCTCAATTTCTGTCTCTCTGTCTTTCTGGTGAGTACATTCATCCTATAGCAGAAACCTCTCTGAAAATGGCGTGGTGGTTAAGGTTGCTGGACTCCCACATGGTTGACTGAGGTTCAAGTCCTGAACCTGGCGGCTTGCTTTCTCGTTTTCTCTTTCTCTCTCTCTCACTCTGTCCTAGCAGGCAGAAGTTAAATAAAGAAGGCAGAAGTAAAATAATTCTTTCTTTAAAAAAAGCCAAAACCTCTCAAAAAAAAGGTAAGTCATGAGTTTTCTGACAACATAATATTTTAATAAATTATAAAAACATATTCCTAGGGAAAGTGGGGACACTTTACCTTTAAGGAGGTTTAAAATGTATGAGGAGTGGAATTGAACATAACTAATACACAACCTAAGCTTTGGAGTTAAATCTGGAAGGTTCTGATTTTCAAGTAAGATTGAAACTACTTAACACAGTAGGATACTGAATCTGGAATCATGGTCCTAGACAAGTTTTAATTTAAATAGTAACAGAGAACTATGTTAAATGGCTTGGACCCAAGGTAAACAACGGAGAACACTAAAAATCCAATCCTTTTTCTTTTGTCTGATTCTCTATGAAAACTTGATTTTTTTCTTTTAAGAATTATTTATTAAATTTTATTTGTTCATTCATTAATTTTAATTTGACCAGAGAGAGACACAGAGAGAGAGAGAGAAGTGAGAAAGCAAGCCACCAGGTCCAAGACTTGAACCATGATAAGCCATGTGGGAGTGTCCAACATCTTAAACACCATGCCACCAGCTAGTGCCCCCAAAACTTCATTTTTAAAATAAGTTTCTTTCTTTCTTTCATGAGAGGGCATGACAGAGAGCATGTGCTTGTGAGAGAGAATGAGAGTGAGAAAGGCACCCTCAAGAGGATCCCTTCACACCTTCCCCCAACCCTCCATCTAGTCAGGATCTTGGGGTGCATGATCTCCCTGTGTGTTTCAGGTCCACTTGGGATCTGAACTTATGGTTGGCCATGTGGCTTCCAGCACTGCAATCGGCTACCATAGGTGCTATCAAAACCAGGCTGAAGGGACCAGCTGGTAGCTTAGTGGTTAAGGGGTTGGACTCCCAAATGGTTGACAATGGTTCAAGTCCCAGATCTGGTGACTTGAAAATCATACCAGGTATGTGTGCCTGCCCAAAATCCCAGGAGGAAAATGGAGGAGAAGGGATTTCGGTTTTACCTTGGGGGGTGATTTCTCACTTTCCCACTCCCTGTCTATCTGTATCTCTCTGTTGAGAACATGTGCCCTATGGCAAAAACTTTAAAAAACAAAACAAAACAAAATTTAAAAGCTGGGCTGAAAATGTGATCTTTTAAATTTTTTAAGTAGATATTTACCTTGCAAAACAGTATGATATAGTCTTTATAGTATTGGGTGGTCGGTAAGTGGCGTGGTGGTTAAGGATGCTGGACTCCCACATGGTCGACCATGGTTCAAGTCCTGGACCTGGCAGTTTGCTTTCTCACTCTCTCTCTCTCTCACACTCTGTCCCTCTCTGGTCACATTAAAATAAATAAATAAGGTTAAATAAAATAATTATTTAAAACAAAACCAAAAAAAAAAAACTATAGTATTGGGCAGAAATAGTTAAGATCATTCTCTAAGGTGGGTCTTGACCACAGAGTCTCTTAGATTAGTACCCATATAAAGTATTTAAAGAGTTAAATAGTACACTTACCTTCTAATGCTCTGGCATCATTTTTAAAAACTTGTTGTCTGGTTCTGTGCAATGTTTTAAAGAGCTGTAAAACCTATTAAGAAAATGAGAATTTAGAGCTCAAAAGAAAAACTTTTCAGATTTTATGTAATTATGTTATAAAACCTAAGCAGTATTCTTTTTCTGTTTGCTTCTTAGACTATTTTTTAAAAGTAAATAGTGAAAACTAGGCCTTGCTAAAAAACTTGCCCTTGATTATTTTAAAATAAAAAATTAGCTTTACTTGTGAAAATAATATGGGGGTCAGCAGGTGGTGTGGTAGTTAAGGGCACTGGACTCCCACATATCTGAACCCAGTTTGAGTCCCAGACCTGGTGGCTTGCTTCCTCACTTTCCCTCTCTCTCTCTTTCACTCTGTCTCTCTCTGGTCAAATGAAAAATAAGTAAATAAATAAATAAAGTTAACTAAAATAATTCTTTAAAAAAAGAAAGGAAGTAATATGAAATTGTTTGTAACACATATTACAATACAAGGATGTGTAAAAAGTTAATAATCCGAGGCTGGCAGGTGGCGATGTGGTTGAGGGTGCTGGACTCCCATATCCCTGGGAGTCATATGTTTAACCTAACAAATTAAATAAATTTTAAAAAGAAAAAAAGATTAAGTTGAGAAAAACTGCCTAGAGTTTAGAACAAAAATTGAGAGATAGAAATTGAGACAGGAGAAGAAAGTTAAGAGAGTAGTCTAGAATGTTCAACAGTTAGATTTACAGGAGTGCCTTGACTGATCCTACAGCCTACTGGTTAAGGAAGCAAGATTTCAAATGGCTAACTACAGTTTAAATCCTGGTCCTGGAAGCTGGAAGAACATGCTGTGCACATACATGTGCATGCCCACCCAGATAGGATGCAGAAATGGAGGAGAAGGAATTGTAGTGTGACCACACCTCATTGAGGGGTGCTTTCTCCCTTTCCCTTTGTCTCTCTTTCTCTGGTGAGCTCATGTACTCTCTGGAGATTTAAAAAGAAGGAGGAGGGGACCAGCAGGTGGCAGGATGGTTAAGGCACTGGACACTCCCACGTAGTTGACCATGGTTCAAGTCCCAGACCTGGTGGCTTGCTTTCTCACTTTCCCTCTCTCTCTCTCTCTCTCTGTGTCTCTCACCGGTCAAATTAAAAATAAATAAATAATTTAAATAAATAATTATTTTTAAAAAAGGAGGAGGAAAAGAGCAGGAGTACCAGCTAGTAGAAAAAGAGAAAATTGAGGAAAGAAATGAAAAGGGGAATAAATCAAGAACATTTCACATTTCTATCTAGTAACTGATGTTACACTGGGGCCTAGAGGTGGTGTGACGGTTAAGGCCCTGGATTCCCACGTGGCCGACCACCATTCAATTCACAAAGAGGCTTGAAACTGACATTGGGCACATGTGCCCAAAATCCTGAGAGGAGAATGGAGAAGAACGGATTGTGACATGGCCAACCCCCTAGGGGATGTTTTCTCACTCATTTTTCTCCGTCTGTCTCTTCGGTGAGCACATGCACCCTTATAGGAAAAAAAAAATCTCTCCAAGAGAAAGAAAGGGTTGCACCAAGTTGCTAACATAACAGAGCACATCATGATGTAAAGTTCAGTGCAATGCTGATAAAGAGAGAATTCTCTGGGTCACCAGCTCTCTGGTGTAGTGGTTATGGCAGCTGGATTACATGGCCAACAGCATGGTCTGAGTCCCAGATCCACTGGCTTGAAAACCATGCCTTGCATGTATGCTTACATGCTCCAAATCCCACAGGGATTGTGGAGAAGAGATGTGACATGGACATCCACCCCAGGGGTTGGGGGTGCTTTCTCACTTCCATACATAGTCAGACTATCACCAAATATAAGGCTAAATAGACATCTCCAGACATGCACGTCTCTTACCTGTCATACACTCTTATTAGAAAGTTATGGAAAAAAATCCTCTGCCAAAATAAAATGAACCACACAAGGAAAAGACATGGGAACCAAGGAGACAGGTGATCTAACATGGGAGATACAGAGATGATAGAGTAAAAGTCATCATTTGTGAAACCAGACCAAAAAGCAGCTAATAGTTTAGACTATGGCAAAAGGTTGAGTAGCTCTGGAAAAGATATAGCTAGGAAAAAAAAAAAAAAATCAAACTCTTGGGTAGTCGGGAAAGTCATGACATATTTTTGCATAGAAAAACATAGAAAAATAATGTCATGACTTTCCCGACAACCTAACAGCAGACTTCATATTTGCTCAGAATTTGAGAATAGACAAGTAGAAAACTAAACAATGATAATAAAAACAAGACAGTTATAAATTACCAAAAAGAGTAAAAATTAGAAAAGAAAGGCAATGCAATCAGAAGTTCTATTAGAGGGCTCAGCTGTGGCAAAGTTTTATATAGCAATAATAAAATCAAGGATGAGAACTGACTTGGTGATATTTATATATTGGGACTGGACAGTGGTGTAGCGCTAAAATGCGACTCTCTATGAAGCTGGCCCACATGAGAAGGTTCTGAGATCATGTCCAGAGACCTCCCTAGTATGCTGGGAACATGTGTGCCCGAGATCAGGGGCTGGCTAAAGCTGGAAGTGGATCAGGCATTAAGACCCTGTTGGGGTTGCTGTCTGTTTCTCATTTATGGAAAAAAATAAAATAAACTTTAAAAATAAATGAATAAACAAAATTTATATATTGAGAAGTGAGGTGAGGGGGAACTTAGTCTTCATCTTCCATAATTAAAAGTCTATTAAATAAATAGCATTTTCAAAGAGGCAAAAAATTATCAGGAGTTTAAACATGTTATTTAGAAATACAGGAGTAAAGGGGTCAGCAGGTGGCATGGTGGTTAAGGGTGCTGGCCTCTCGCATGGCTGACTGCAGTTCAAATCATGTTCCTGGCAGCTTGCTTTCTCTTTCTCTCCCTCTCTCTCCTTCACACACTCTGCCTCTTTCTGGTCAAATTAAAACAAATAAATAAAGTTAAATAAAAAAAATTAAAAAAAAATACAGGGGTAAGTCTCAGAAGAAAAAGCTAAAATGATTAAAAGTGCTTACCTCCAGGGAGCAGAAACTGGGAGCAGGTATGAGGAGGAAGACACCTACTGGTTTTCTTTTTTTTGGTAGAGGGTTTTGTCTTACGGTGCATGCACTTGTCAGAGAGAGAGACAGAGAGAGATAGACAGACAGAGACAGTGAGAGGGAAAGCGAGAAATCATCCCGTAGGAGGGATGATCACACTGCAATTCCTTCTCCTTCATTCTCCTCTCAGGATTTTGAGCACACGCGTATGCTCCCGACCTGAGTTTCAAGCCACCAGGTCCAGGATTCAAAATGCAGTCAGCCATGTGGGAGTCCAGCAACATAACTGCTATGCCAACTGCTGGTCCCAACTTGTTTTCTATGTAACACTTCTTAAACTTAATATCTTAAACACTTCTCATACTTATCATCTTTATAACAATTTATTTTAAAAAGAGAAAGGACATTATCAAAAAAGGAAAAATGAATAGGAGAAAATATTTGCAAATCATATATCTGATAAGGGCCTAGTATCCAGCATATATAAAGAACTCTTCTAACTCTATCACAGTAATAAATAAACTCTAATTTTAAAAAATAGGCAAGAGATTTGAATAAACATTTCTCAAAAAAAAAAAAAAAACAAACCCACAAAAGTGGCCAATAAACCATGAAAAGACCTCAATATCATTTGCCACCTGGGAAATATAAATGTAAACCTTAATACAATATCACTTTATCCCAGTAGGACAATACAGTCAAAAAAACAATAGCAAATGTTGGCAAGGATGTGAAAAAATTATGCAACAGGTGGAAATGTAAAATGGTACAGTTGCTTTGGAAAACAGTTTGAAAGTGCTCAAAAAGTTAAACAAAGGGCCAGCAGGTAGTGTAGTAGTTAAGGTGCTGGACTCTCATATGGCTGACTGCAGTTCGAGTCCTAGACCTGATGGCTTAAAACTTTTGCTAGGCATGTGTGCATGTATACCCAAAGTCTCAAGAAGAGAATGCTGGAGAAGGGACTGTGGCATGGTCATGCCCCCAGGGGGGGTGATTTCTCACATTCTCTCTCTCTCTGTTTCTCTGGCGAGTGTACAATGCTCTATAGCAACCCCCCCCCAAAAAAAAAGTCAAATATATGACACTATAATTCTAGTACAAGCTGGATATTCCTTATCTGATATGCTTGGAACTAAGTGTTTCAGATTTGGGGATGACTGTATATACTTAATGAGATATCTTTTTTTTTTTGAGAGTTTTTTTTTTTTTTTAGCTATAGGGTACGTGCGCTCGCCAGACAGACAGAGAGAGACGGAGAGACAGAAAGTGAGAAATCACCCCCCAGGGTGGATGGCCACGCCGCAATCCCTTCTCCTCCACTCTCCTCTTGGGATCTTGGGCACGCACGCACACGCGCCCGGAATGAGTTTAAGCCACCGGGTCCGAGACTCGAACCGTGGTCGACTACGTGGGAGTCCAGCGACATAGCCATTATGCTAACTGCTGGTCCCCTTAATGAGATATCTTAAGAATGAGATCCAAGTCTAAATAAGAAATTTTTGTTTCGTGTGTGTGACTACACACACACACACACACATAACCTGAAGGTTATTTTATATAATACTTAAAAATATAAGGCCCATAAGATGAGGTAAGGTGTGGAATTTCCCACATGTGGCATTACACTGGTGTTAAAAAATTTTTGGATTTTGGAGCACTTTGGATTTTAGATTTTCAGATTAGAGTTCTCATCCTGCATTAGGGATATATTCAAGACAAATGCAAACATATGTTCACACAAAAATTTGTACACTAAGGTTCAAAGTAGCATTATTCAAAATAGACAAAAAGTATCATCTCTTGAGTGGGTAAATAAAATGTGGAATATTCGTACTGTTATGGCTTGAATTGCGTCTCTCCAAAAGAAATATTAAAGTCCCAATCCTGGGTACCTGTTAATGTGCCTAGAAAAAGAAACTCTGCAGATATAATCAAGGTAAAATGAGATTATTCTAATCTAATGTCCTTACGAGAAAAATACCAGGTGAAGAAAGAAATACACAGGGGAAAGACAGTTGTGTAAAAGTAGAGGCAGAGGTTAGACTGACACCACAGCAAAACAAGGAAAAATAAGGTTTGATAGCCACCATCAAAAGTTAGGAAGAAGGGAAGACTCTACTCAGAGTTTCAAAGGAAGCATGATCCTGCTGACACCTTGATCTTAGACTTCTAGCCTTCAGAATTGAGAGAAAATTAATCTCTGTTGGTTTAAGCCATGCTTTTATAGTACTTTGTTAGAACAGCCATAGGAAACTAATACATGGAAACAGGGTGCTTCTGTAAAAATGCGGAAGTGGCTTTGGAAGTGACTAATATGTATGTACCGGCTAGAATTCTGAGGTGCTTGATAGTAAAACCCTAGATTCCCTTGAGATTGTTCATGGAAGTATGTATAGGCTTTAATGGCATCATCAAAACCCAGGGAGTTTAACTGTGCAAGAGCAATGGAAGACATGTTGAATAAGACACTGACAGGGAAGTGGGGCCAAACAGTGAAGCAGTGGTAAATAATACTTCTTGAGACTGACCCACTGGGGATGGTGCTGCATTCTGCTCTCTAGAGCCTCTCCAGAGTATTTCAAATATGTGCTTGCCTGTGATCGGGACTGGCTTGGGCTGGGATGTGAATCTCTGTGTCAAGACCCTGTGGGGGTGTCTTCTGTCTACTTCTCTTGCTCATGGAAGAAACAAATAAAAACTTAAAAAGAAAGTGAGAGATAATAAAAAACTAATCTTTTTTTATACTATTTAAAGAGGAAAAAAAAGAGAAAGAAAGGTGGATTTCATTAGTACCACAAACAGCATCCCTAATTTAAGGCCTAAAGTAGAAAAAAAAAAATGTTGTCAATACTGCCAAGGAGCTATTGGAGCAAATATCACCTTGGCACTACCGAACTTTTATTAAAAGGCAGAAAACTAGGACACAGATTATCTTCTCTTCCTCATATACTGATAGGATAAATTTGAATAGTATATATGAAAGGGGACTCTATAGTCAGGTTAGTTTGAATCTGTCATTGTCACATATTGTACACTTGGACAAGTTACCTACTCTCTCTTAATTTTCTTGAATAATGGGATAATTTTAAAAGTGTATGCTATAATTTACATACCAGGTTTCAATTTAGATAGTAATTACTTCCCTGTCCCTTTTAAGTTTGGGTTACATGCCCTTCCTCAGTACTTCCAGGGCACCAGGCACTGCCTGCACTACATGCTAATTAAATGCTTACTCTCTGTTGTCCCATACTTCTTCAAAGGCTTCTTGATCACCTTTGTATTCACTCTTCGTATAAATCCTTTTACACGTGGTAGACCTCACAAATGCGTTTATAGAATAAATACTACTTAATTTCATTAGTATCTACGTTTTTCAAACGACTTCCCACTTCAAAGACTTTCATATACTAGTTTCTTTTTCTAGAGTATGTTTTTCTGGATTATTCTGGAATTCTTTAAATTCTAGTTACATGTTCATGAAACACGCTATTTCCAATTCAAAGCACTTACTACAATTGCAATTAAACAATTGTTCAAAATCTTGCTACCTGTTAGACTTTCTTAGGAAAGCAAAGGTGGTCACTTTACTTTTGCATTCACCATACCTAGAGAGCATAAGCTAAATGTTGGTTGTTAACTATTATTATTAACTGCTATGGGGACTCAATAAATTGTCTGAATGAAAACCCCTGTGCAATGTTTCTGTTGGCGCTGTATAATGTACTGAGAATACCAAGTTTAATAGTACATGAAGACCGCTTAGTGGCTCCCTATTACCGATCGACCAGAAACATGGCTTTTCCTCACCTTTCGGCCTGCGTTTCAGCTAGTGACCATTACAGGTGCCAATCGCCCACGCAGATACTTAAGGTTCAATGAGGGCGGCTCCTGAGAATTGTGCACCGCTCAGGTACAAGTATCGGCTTAGGACAAAAGAATCTGAGACCAGTTTCTCAGAGATAACTCCGGCAGCGCGAGCACATCCCAAGCTTATTAAAAGCACTCAGACCTCACTGGTCTCTGTTGTGTTATTTTTGGCAAATAATATCGCTAGGATTCGGTTGTCTCGGTTCCTAGACTCCCGTGAACCACTTGGTCTATGCGAATAAATGCTGGACCTCATTGGGTGGCTGTAGCTCCGCAATGCCTTCGGCATCTCTTGTATTTCCCACGGATGTAAAACGGTCGCTCAGACAAATACTCGGTTTGGAGACGAAATGGGGGCGGAACTCAAGTCACGGGCCTGTATCCCGTTAGTACCAAGGAGAGGAACCACACGGGTGCCTCCCTCCCTGTGCACCTGCACAAACCCTCGACTGTCCCTCAGGGTTGGTCCTCGGGCTCCTGTCGGGCAACGGCCACGACCTCCCAGAAGGGCCTGGACCCCGGCCTCCAAAGACTCCACACAGCCTTCGCCTGCCCATGAACTTCCCCTCCCTGTCGGCACCGCACCCACCCCTTTCCCGAGCCCTGTCACCTTGGTTGCCTGACCCATGGCTCTCTCGGGCGAAGCAGCCACTTCTCAGGCGGTCGAGCCGCCCCGCCTCTCCGCAACCCATCAC